CATCGTGACACCCACCGCCCCCCCAAAACCAGCCACTACCTTGACCACCTCTTGGCCCAGGACGCCTCCGACCACGGCGCAGACAGGAGCCATTTCGGAGAAGCAGTAGCTGGAGGGAAGGAAGGAAGGAAGAGAAATTCAACGGCAAAGCCCGGAGATGCCGCGGTTTCCCCGAAAAAAGCTTCTCGGTTTTGCTAAAACACCGTTTCCCCCTGAAAGCGGTGGCAGGGACACGACACCAGCGTGTCCCCCTCGTGTGCTTCGTGCCACCCTGCTAAAAATAAGCCCCTCAAAATGCCGGCCCTGCATCCCCCCCAGAACGGCACATTCCCGCCATTCCCAGCGGGCAGCGTGTAGAAAACTGCAGGTTTTTTTGGGAGTTCCCGGTGACCGCGCCAGGGGTGATGGGGACCCTCCCGCGGTCGACACCGGGGTTCGGTGTTACTGCAAGGACACGGGTGATGGGGGGGGTTCTCTACACCGCCGTAGTCCCAAGGTCCCAGCGGAGCCAGCTGGGATTGCTTGGGATCCCGCCAGTGGAGCGAGCCAGAACCTGGCCTGGCGTCAAGCCCACGGCACCAAAGGCCTTGGGGAAGGTGGTGAACCTCCTCCACCGAGCCGTTAATCCCCGGTGAGGATGACCCAGAGGAAAAGCAAGGACACGCAGGGCAGGCAGCGGCTCAGGTCACTGCCATCGTCCTCCAGTGAGATTGATGGTGAAATGGGTGTCGGGAGCTGCTGGAGCTTCTCTGGCACCCAGCGATCCAGTGGGAAAGGAGCAGTAGTGACTAAGGAGGTGCCAGTGATGCACTCGGCTCCCCACCGCACCTGACAAATTCATCTGGCAGCAGGTTGGCACCGACCCCCAGCGCCTCCAGGATGTCGTGGCGGATCTGGAGCAGCAACTTCGAGTCCTCGGCGTAGTTTTGGGGTGAAGGATCCCGGCCGTTATCCGTCCGAAACTTCAACAGCACTGGGGAGGGGGGAAGAAAGTCCCCCCGCTGCCAGCTCCAGGTGCTGGCACGCAGCAGAGGGACTGCCGGGAACTTTGCCGTGCGGCTCTGCCAGCAATTCCAGAGAAGCTGAGGGGAGCAGCAGCTCCCTGTCTCTCTTTTAGGAGCTCCTCGGTCAAGCCCGCCGGCACCCCGAAGCAACTACCAAGTGGGTCTGGGAAAGCTCACGTGACTGGCCAGCGCTCCCAGCTCTTCCCAAGGGAAGAGCTGGGCTCTGAAACGCTCAGGGTGGCTTGGCTTTCCCCGAATGCCTTGGCAGAAGCTGCCACCAGAGCCGAAAGCTCACAGCAAGGGAGAAGACGAGTAAACAGGGCCCGAGCTGAGCAGCGCGGGCTGGCGGGGCGCTTCCGTACCAGGGAGAAGGCTGTTTCCAGTCACCCAGGTATTTTTAGCTCCCCGCTGTTAGGGTAAAACTCACAAAAAAACCTCAAAGCCAACAACAAAAATAATCAAAAGCTCATTTTCACCACAGGAAGCGACTCACGCTCGCTCGCCACGGTGGATCTCAGGGAGCGCACACTTGGTTTGGTGACCATAAAGCCAAATTTCCCCAATACTGGCAGGGAAAGGCAGCGGGAATTAAGAGGCAGGGACTTACCTTGGAGGAGGAAATAGTCCGGGGTGGTGCGTTTCAGCGCTGCCTTCGCCTTCTCCCCGCTCCAGTCGACGGCCAGGGCTTCCTTCAGCTGACAGAAAACCACCCGCTGCGAGGGGAGAAGGCGTTGGTGGATGGGGGGGCCTTCACCACAAGTGCCGAGCGCAGCCCCCCATCCTGGGCGGCGTGTCCCCGCTCTCCCTGGCAAGGCAACCCAGCATCAATCCCCCCCAGCCCCGTCCCGACGGCACGAGGGTCCCTTCGGAGATGAGGTCAGTAAGCAAGCGGTGACGCCGAGGGCAGGGAAACAAAAGCTGCTTTCTCCTCCTCTTCATCACGGGGGCGTG